TAACTGTTCTGCTGCCTTCTTCTCTGTGCTAATATAAATACTGAGTACCAGCATGTCCACTTGAACATGCAGAGGGTTAATCCTGCTTCCTAAAGCCTCACGAACATGCCTCCTGCTTAGTTCACTTTGCATCAGATTTCCTAAGCTCCTTTTTCCCCCAGTTTTGGGATACTGTGCTTACCTCCACAAATCTCATCTCTTTCCTGGCATTCTGCCTAGGCTTTGTTTTGCCCACGGGCTCCCTCTTTTTCTAGAAGAGCAGTATTCAACCTTTTAGCTATGACGACATGTAACAAAAGCTGCTTATGTACTAATAGTTGAAAGTCTGCCTTTTCAAATTCAATAAGGCATACAAATATCTGAGAGTGACTTTGTTGTATAGCTACCCTTGTGATCTACAGTAATTTAATCTTTCTAAAAGTAAAGCATTTACAAAATTCAGTATTTAAACCACTAACCAGAAACATTACTTGGGATGCATCTCTAATACTATGTTGGAGCGCCTCTGCTCTAGGTTGAGAATGACATTTTATTGTGAAGATGGGTGTGGTCCCTCTTCCCTTGAAATCTTGTGGTTTCTTTTTATATTAACTCCCCACTGCTACAGCCTAGAAGGTGAGAAGCAGATTTTTAACCCATCTGGCCGCCACTCAAGGAAAACCCAGCCCTGGCTGTTTACCTAGGCTCTCTTGGAATGAGAGTGCAGGGTGTAGGATATGAGGGTTAGGCCTTTGCCAGATTATACGCGAGTTTATATTTTCCTTCATCTGGACAGGTAACTTTCTTCCTTTGTTCATAGGCAAGAAGTTCTTTAATGGATAGTATCTTTGACTTAACCTACTAGGCATGGTCCTCATGGAGTTTTGGTTCAACTGGAATCTCTGTGCCAACCTAGGATACAAACTTCCATCCGGATGCCTCTATTTCCATAGCTCCGGGGCTGCTCTAACAGTTTGATATCAGCAGACTTGTTTAAGCCTTCAACTTGATTTCCAAATATTCCATCATTTCTATTCTGAAATGACTCACCGGCATAGAAGGAAGTTTATTATATAATCAAGGTTTCAGATATCCTCCTGTAACCACCTCTACCATTCAGGAGGCCTAAAGTTGAAATAAGTACTAAATAGAAGCCTCACCATCTGAAGTCCCTTCCGTTGTTTTCTAGTTGCTTCCTCCTTCCTTTACTCACATTCTTTCTAAGGGCTCCCCCACTGCAGTGCAAACTGGCCTTGGGCACACTTTTGCAACCAACCTACTGCCCTGGAAAGGTGGCTTCCTTCTCCAATCAGCCTGAATGAGCTTCAGTAAGCAATTGAGAGAACTGTGTTTTTCCAACAAACGGTCACATGTCCATTGTTATGGCATCTAGAGAAAAACAGAGTTATCCAATCAAGTCAGGAGCATAACCCAAGTAGATGCCTCTAGGGGCACATGGCCCCTCACATCACAAGCCAGAACCTAAGCTAAGCATTTTTTAAAACGAGTTTGAGACTAGCCTGTGCAACACAGTGAGACTCCATCTCTATTTAAAAAATGAACAAAATTACCTGGGCATGGTGGTGTATACCTGTAGTCCCTGCTCCTTGGGATGCTAAAGTGGGAGGATCACTTGAGCCCCAGAGATGGTGGCTGCAGTAAGCCAAGATCACACCACTGGTACTCCAGCCTGGGCAACAGAGTGATACCCTGTCTCAAACAACAACAACAAACACATATATATAAATGTGTGTGTGTATATATATATATAGCGACTTGAATAGGAAACCATAGTATTTCATTGTTTTCATTTGCATTTATTTTACTTCTAGTGAAACTTTTATGTACTTATCAGTCATTTCTGTTTCCTTTTTTGAAAACTGCCAAATGTTGCCCTAGTAGCCAAAAATATCAAGTTGCTATTCTGCCTTTTCAGTTTGATCTGAAAGAAATAAAGGCATTTAAGCAATGGAAAAAAAAAAATGTCTTTAACAGGAATGTATAAAACCTGTATCTATTAAGTCCTTATTTCCTACATTAAATAAATTTGCAAAAATGATAGTTTATTCCAAGCTAATCATGACTGATTTGTAAATCTAAAGTTAGAAAAGTCTTTAATCACAAGTTATCTTTATAATGACACCATAATTCAAATGTGTTATTATTTGTATTCATATTTTTATGAACACAAGAAAGTTGTCTGACAGAAGTTTGATGAGAGGAATTTGATTCAGAAGATTGAAATATCCTTCAACCTTACTATAAAATATCTTACAAAATGCTCTTTGATCTCACAGCATTAGAATCATCAAGGTTAAGCAAGACATCAGCATGCAAATTCTAATTAAAAGGGGTCCAGTATGATACAATTCAGGGAATTTCCACAAAAATCCTTTGGAACAGTATCTTCCCCATTTAAAAGTTAATGTGGTTTCACAGAAAATTAATAATACAATTTGAATAATAATACAATTCGAATCACTTAGCAGTAGGAATACAGATATTTGCTTTTTCTTCTATAAATTTGCGCTTATTTGTTCAATGTGTTTACAGGTGCATGTGGTCATTCAATATAATCAATTGATATTTTTTAATTGTTTAATTACATAAACCTGTGCAACTATTTCCAGTCATTTGTTGTGTTAGGAGTGTACCACACAGTAAAATATCTCACCATGATAATTCAATTTAAAGGTTCTGAGGTTTCTCTCTACGTTGTGTGACAAACAGGCTCATATCAATAAGACCGGTTGGAAATCACCAATAGCCCATTGTTACTGTTCTTATTCCACCTCACTTTACTTCCATTTATTACTAATTAATATTTACATTCCTAATAGAAAATTACTAAAATAAAGAAAATTCAAATTTACCAAACTCAACTTAAAATAATGAGTTCCTAGAGCAAAAGTATAAACCAACTATATTAATGAAAATAATAACTGATGAAATAGACAATCCTCCCCTCTTGGTTGCAACATCAATAGCTTAGCTTTTTGACAGCATTTCATTTGTGTTTACCCATCCTGCATTTTATTTCCCTTAAATGCTAAATGGTGACAATACTAACATCTCTTTCATGAAGTAGTTTTGAGAATTAAATGAATACTGTAAAGCACTTAGAATCATATCTGGTACATGATTAAATATTAGCCACTATTAAATATTAATATTTAAATAAATATTAGCCACTATCATTATTATTGCTATTTAACTTTTTGCTAACTTTTTAACATCACAGAGTACTGAAAATGTGAGGCTAGATTAATTGTTATTCTCTGTACAGCCAGCTTTGAGACCTCGGAAAAATTATTCAATCACTGAGTCAATTGATTCTCAATTATTTCGGCTGTAAAATAAGCCAATAATTCAATAGTACTGTCCTGGTAGCAGCCTTGTCAGGTTTAAAAATAATGCTCATTGTTTATAGCAGCACAATTTGCAAATGCAAAAATATGGAATCAACCTAAATGCCCATCAACTAACAAGTGGATAAACAAAATGTGGTACATGTACACCACGGAACACTACTTAGCTGTAAAACAGACGGAATAATGGCCTTTGCAGCAACTTGGATGGAACTGGAGGCCATTATTCTAAGTGAAGTAACTCGGGAATGGAACACCAAATATCCAATGTTCTCACTTAAAAGTGGTAGCTAAACTGTGAGGACATAAAGGATAAGAATGATATAAGGAACTTTGGGGACTGAGGGAAAATGGCAGTAGGGGGAATGACCGATAAAAGATTACATATTGGGTTCAGTCTACACTGCTCGGGTAAGGGGTGCAAAATCTCGGAAATCACCGCTAAAGAACTTATCCATGTAACCAAAAACTATTGAAATTAAAAATCAATCAATGAATAAATTTTAAAATAAAAATAAAAATAATGCATCTAATTTACCCAGCACAGGCCACAATGTGCCTGTCACATCATAAGCACCTAATAATAAGAAACTTCCTACTATTAGTACCTTCTGTCTAAGTATTCTGATATTTATTTTGGCATTGACCATGTTGAACATCCTAAAGTTGAAAAATTTGACAAATAAATAATGAAAATGAATTGGCAGAAAAATAAATCTCAATTGAATTTTTTAATTATATTTGCAATTATGTTGATTCTTTCTAGAAAGGGCGCTGCAAACTACACATGCTTTACCACAATGAAGATGGTTTTTACAGTACACTTCCAAGCACTAGAAATATATGCTGAACTTTCTTTTTAAGAACATCTATAGATAAGCTCTGCTAGACAGAAATTCAAACACACTGTTTCTTCAGTTTTAAAATATACATGTGTGGGTCTGAGTGTATACACAGACACGTGCACATACCACCAACTCTAATCTCTATAATATTTGGCTCAAATCTAAGCTGGAAAGAGTCTCTACACATAAATTAGGTTACAAAACAGGCTGTCAAAAATAAGTTTCAAATGAATAGGAAACAAGTAGCACACAGAAGTGGTGGAGAGAGAAAATTGAAAGAGGACAATAAGCAAATAGGGAGAGAAAGAAACATCATCGTACGCAGGAAGGTAAACCCGTATAACTGTTCTTATAGAGTCAGATCCTTTTGGCCTAAGCAGAAAATTGAGCAAGAAAGCAGTTTATTTTATGTGGACAGAAACTGACTCTGTCAGCAAAATAAAGGTGATTTCTAACTTCATGTGTCAGCCAACAGTTGTGGGTAAACAAGCATTTTCAGGACAGCATTAGGAACTATCAGGAATAAACACCTTCAGAGAAAAATACAACAGCACAAGAATGGCCTAAATAAATATATTCCATTTTTCTCAATGTCTTATTATACTTTGTTTATCTTTCCTTACGTTATTTATTGTTTTTCAAAAAGATACTTTTATTTTCTTTATAAACCAGAGTACTTCATTTCCATAGAGCTCTTGTTAGGTACCAGACATGGGACCCAATATTACATGTAAAAAGATGAAAAGACACAATTTCTGACTTCAAGAGTGGGAAAACACTGGTACCATCTCTCTGTTTGATTTTCTAGGTAATCAAATGCAAAGCAGCTGTGCTATGGGAGGTAAAGAAACCCTTTTCCATTGAGGATGTGGAGGTTGCACCTCCTAAGGCTTATGAAGTTCGCATTAAGGTGAAGTATTTTTCCATTTCTATTTCATTTTACATTTAAAAAACTCAGAGAATATTGAAATGGAAACATCAAAAAATCCGCTAAGAGGCATATCTTATATGATCATCCAGAAAATAAAATTACATTTGTTGTCAAGGAAAGGTATAAATATAAATTTTAAATGTTTAATAAGTGATCAAAGAGTACATACAGTATAATTCCAGTAAAATACAAAAGAATGTATATGTTTGTACAGAAAAAAATTCCAAAGGATACATATCAAGACTTCAAAATCAATTAACATTAGATATTTTCCATGTGCTACTTTGCTATTTCTACTTGTTTTTTAAAGCGTGCATTCTTGTATAAGACTTAAATATTTCAGAATCAGTTACTTCACAGATTCTTCTAAATTGTTTAATTCAAGAAGGGAAGGTAGAGAAGGGTTTTAGACTGATTAACCTTGAGGATAAACCGAATCTTTCATATTTAGGATTAGTAGGGAGTATAGCAAAACCCTGAATACATTTTAGAAGCACAATTTCAGGAATCTGGGTATGTTAAATTTGTCTAGTTACAATCTTTTCTGAATCTGAACATCTTCTCTTTATTCTGTAGATGGTGACTGTAGGAATCTGTGGCACAGATGACCACGTGGTTAGTGGTACCATGGTGACCCCACTTCCTGTGATTTTAGGCCATGAGGCAGCCGGCATCGTGGAGAGTGTTGGAGAAGGGGTGACTACAGTCAAACCAGGTACAGGATTCACACTCAGGAAACATGCTCGTTCACCAACCTAAGATTTCCCAGCCTGGATGAGGAAACCGGCAATGAGGGACCAAAGCGCTTGCAGAAGGTCACCGCGCAGCCAGGACTTCAGGGGTTTCCTCTTTCCCTCTCTGCCTGCCTGACTCAAGCATGTATGTCTTCAGGCAGGCATGTATTCTACCCTTCAACCATTATGTACTGAGCATCTGCTAGATGCCAGGCACCAGGTTGGAGCCTGGAGATATGTGAGGATCAAAAGGGACACAGTGCCTACCAGTGTGGCATTCATAATCTAATAACTTCATGTTAGTGTTGCTGAACACGGTCTTCTTCTGTCAGGGCCCAGACAACTAGAAACGGGAGGAGAGAAAAAACCATAAGTATGGAAACTGTTCTGTGCTGAGTTCACAAGGTGGAGGCTACACGGCTACAACTGAATAAACATGACCTTTTCTTAGGTGACCTATGCAGCCACGTCACCAATCTCCTCTTCCAACATGGTCTCTCTTCCTGAGCATGGAATCAATGAAACTGACTAGGTGAAAGGAAATGAAAGAAACATAGAAGGAGCCATCCACCATCAACAATGTCTGCCTTATTACCTTCAGCCATGCTTAAATGTGACTGGTTACAGATTACTAATTATAAAGGGAGAATAACTAGGACATTTCCATACCATCATTTTCACATAAATTTTACCTACAAAATGTTACGGGGCAACCATTTTTCTTGGTCTTGTGGAATAGGTAGCATAAGTAATTAAAAATAAAAATTATGTTTAATTCTAAAAAATCACTTTCATTTTATTTTATTTTATTTTATTTTATTTTATTTTATTTTGTTTTATTTATTTTGAGACGGAGTCTCACTCTGTCACCCAGGCTAGAGTACAGTGGTGCAATCTCAGCTCACTGCAACTTCCACCTCCCGGGTTTACGCCATTCTCCTGCCTCAGCCTACGGAGTAGCTGGGACCACAGGCGCCCACCACCACGCCTAGCTAATTTTTTGTATTTTTAGTAGAGACGGGGTTACACCATATTAGCCAGGATGGTCTCAATCTCCTGACTTCGTGATCTGCCCGCCTCAGTCTCCCAAAGTGCTGGGATTACAGTCTAGAAAATCACTTTAGGCACTAGTTTGGACCTGCCACTTCACCAAATACTTATTTGAACTGTGAACAGAAAAATAAAATGAACTGTCGAATTTGGGTTTCAGCTCCTACTAATTCCTTTAGTAGTAATAAATTAATAACTACTAAATAATAACTAATAACTGATAAATTACTACTAATAATAACTACTAAATAATACTAGTAATCACTAATTAGTTAGTAATAAGTTAATAACAAAATGACACCCTTACTTTTTACCTGTGCTCACTCCACTATAACAGGAAAAGTAGATAATTCACAAATTACCAGCTAAAAACATTTCAAAGTCAGTTCTTGTCCTAAAAGTACCTAACTTATTGTGGAGGGTTGAAATTTCCAGAGGAATTTCTGGAATTGTTCTTTGTCCCATTTTTGATAGTTTTCCTCAAAAAAAGAACTAAGATCATTTTAAAAGCATTCATTTCATAATAAAGGTAAACCTAGTCACTTTGAAAAGAAAAGAAGTAGTTCAAAATTCTCATTTTTATTGTAAATCAAACTATAACAAAAAACAGGTCTTATCAACATCTAGTGGCACTATTATACCCTACTTTCAACTAAAATTTATATTTATGCTTACATTAAGATTTAAATAGTTAAGGATTAAATTAAACATTTGTAAAGCCTCCAGGAGAAACTGATACACTACATAAAAGTAACTATTAATACAGTGGAAGCAATTTTTCTAATCCATGTTTTCCCATATTTGCATTTCCTCTCTAGGAATCTTCAGGCACTTATAAACCCAAACTGGAAACAAGGCTGTGGCAGGCAGTGACAAATGATGTATTTGTCATTGAACTGTATTTCTTGGAGACTTTTAAAGACACATGCTTCTAATATTTCAAAGACATGTGAGCTTTAAGTTTATGCTCTATTAATACTGGATAGAAATTGTAAAATAATTTGTTTTATCCCTCTCCAGGTGATAAAGTCATCCCACTCGCTATTCCTCAGTGTGGAAAATGCAGAATTTGTAAAAACCCAGAAAGCAACTGCTGCTTGAAAAACGAGTAGGTTTCTGATGCTCTCCCTGCACAGACATTGAGTTTGCACGTTAGTTATGCTCCTGTCTCATGCCTTTGTGTGTCTGTGTATTGCACTGCCCAGTGTAAGCAATCCTCGGGGGACCCTGCAGGATGGCACCAGCAGGTTCACCTGCAGGGGGAAGCCCATCCACCACTTCCTCGGTGTCAGCAGCTTCTCCCAGTACACGGTGGTGGATGAGAATGCAGTAGCCAAAATTGACGCAGCCGCACCCATGGAGAAAGTCTGTCTCATTGGCTGTGGATTTTCAACTGGTTATGGGTCTGCAGTCAAAGTTGCCAAGGTAAGAATGACAACGGATGATAAAAACAGTTACACGTGGACTGTCAGGAACCCAAAGGGAAGCAATTTCTCACAAGAATCAAAGATTATTTTTGTAGATTTTGAATGTTGGCTAAGAATAGAAACACAATCCAGAAAGAATTGAGAGCACATGCTAGAAATTTCATGTGTTTATCAGATTAAAAAGTTGTTGAGAGTTAAGAAAATGTAAAGATTTCATTTTCAATAATTACTCTTCTGTATTTGCTCTTTATGAGATCATGAAATATTAGGCCTGAGAACTCATTTAGTAATTCATTCAACAATTGGAGAGCACGTATACATGCCTCAGGCACCAGAGTTTCTGCTAGGTTCTGAGATAGCAAAAGTAAATGAAATGAAGCGTTTGCCCTTGAGGAACATCTAGTCTGCGGATCCTCTACTGCCAGAATTAGGATCAACAGTAGAGTCCAAAACCTCACCTGATGCACTTCCACACCAAGGCTCACCGACTTTGTGGATTCTTAGACGGAAAGTAATGAAGCTTCAGTGATGCGTAATTCACTCATTATGGGATTTCACTGTTAAAACGAACTCCCCAGCCATGAACACACACATATATTTCAGAAGTGGTAAATTTCAAGCGAAAATTCTTTAAAGGCTTCTCGTCTGAGTAGGCTGAAAATCTAGTAGTATGCTTTATTTTATGAAAGCAAGGTCCAGAGTTATAAAGATATTTGACCACAGTCTCAGTGCTGAGACTAAAATATCTTTTTAATATGAGAGCTGAGATTAAAATATCTTTTTCAAATATCCTGCTGAATCTTAGCTCGCAATACATAATTATTAGTGTTTTAAAATCACAGTCACGAGTCTTATATTTTTCTAAGTAAGGTAGAAAATGGTGTTGTCCCCATAGTATGAATAACACTTGGTGAATGAATGAGTGAATAGACACCCTTAAGGGAATATAAGGATGAGATTACTTGGGACAAGAAAGCATGTCACCCACAATGAAGACTGACTGCGGGAGACTAGGTTTAATAAATAACCACTAGCCAACCAAAAAAAAAAAAAAAATTCAGAAGGCATCTTTTCCAAATTTCTGACTTTAGCACTTAGTATCTTGTTCAGTTGCCTCATCCGTGCTAGCAGGTGGTCAAAGTGAGCCTACCCAAGACAGAAGATGAGGCTACTCATAACAGTAGATTGTATTTATTATTGACATATAGACAAATGTTTCATTGCTGTGTTGTTCACTAGTGTATTTTTAAAGCAGGGATATACTGGTCACAACTACTGAACATAAATGAACCAAGGCGTTAATTACTGAGGGTTTAAGTGGAATATTTTTCAGTCTCCTGGAGTAGACTTTTCCACTTATTTTATTTTCCAAATATTGCCTTGGTGTATGTATGAGATATTGAAGCTCACTATCATGGGATTTCAGCAATCGAGAGTCCCTTCAAGACTGTAATCACTGCCATCTGGATCTCAAAGATCATCCAGTCCCCTGGTTTCCAGCCTGACTTTCCCATTGGAGTCACCTGGGAACTGAGTTCCACCTGCAGAGATTCTCATTTAATTGACATGGGCTGTGACCTGGACAGTGGGATGGTTTGTAAAGCTCCCCCAGAAGAATCTAATATGCATCAGTTTGACAACCACTCAACTAGTTCATCCCCTTGAATTTAAAAATAAAGCAACTGAAGCCAGAAGAGGTTTTGATAAAAGGTTGGACAGAAGAGTCTGAGTAACTCTTGATAAACACGTAGGCATGGCACTTTATAAAGCTTAGGCACTTTCTGACAATCATTACTTATCCATTTTTGCATTTTCTGAAAACATAGGTCACTCCAGGCTCTACCTGTGCTGTGTTTGGCCTGGGAGGGGTCGGCCTCTCTGCTGTTATGGGCTGTAAAGCAGCTGGAGCAGCCAGAATCATTGCGGTGGACATCAACAAGGACAAATTTGCAAAGGCCAAAGAGTTGGGTGCCACTGAATGCATCAACCCTCAAGACTACAAGAAACCCATCCAGGAGGTGCTAAAGGAAATGACTGATGGAGGTGTGGATTTTTCGTTTGAAGTCATCGGTCGGCTTGATACCATGGTATGTACCATGACATGCCCTGAGATTTCTGCCTCTGCAACCTGGAAGATGCATTTAGGCAGCAAAATATAAGTTTTATGTATAAAGGATATTTTTAATGATGAATGGAAATTTCCCATCATCTGTTACCTGACTTGTTTAATTTTTGTTATGGGAAATCTTTTCTTCCATCAACTATGCAAATCTGTCTCAAGTCATATTTCCTCTAGAGGAAAAGATAAGGGCTTGTTTTTCTTAACTGAGCAATTACAGATTTACTTTATTAATTTTTAGTTAAAAACTGTAAGTTTAAGTAAACATAAATAATACAAATTCTGTTCTCAAATTGAAATGTTTTATTTTTCTCCCACATTCTTAAAAAAAAGGCTCAATAATTTTGCATATGTTCTTAATAAATTCCAAATTTTTTTTTTAATTTCTTTATTATTATTATACTTTAAGTTGTAGGGTACATGTGCATAACGTGCAGGTTTGTTACATATGTATACTTGTGCCATGTTGGTGTGCTGCACCC